CACACCTGCGCCACCTGCTGGCGAGCCAGAGCACAAAATCCCATTCCCACCACCACTCCAGCTCCCCCGCTCTTTCTTAACCTGGAACCCACAGACCCAAAGAATCTCGAACCTGGAAAATGCCCAGATCACCAGATTCAACCCCATTATTTTACAAAAGAAGACATTCTATACGTCTTTATTGAGCTACCATTATGGGCTAGTGTATCCGATGCTACTCAGGGGCCAGGAATACACTAAGGAGGTTCCTACCTTTACAATACTCAGTCTAGTGAGGAAGACAGCTATTAAATAATAACTACAGATGAAAGATGCCATTACAAATGATGCAATGCTGGAAACCTTCTGAATGAGAATGTGGCTAGCAGGGGAAGGATCTTCCTGAAGACACGATATTGGCACTGGAAGCTGAAGGAGGAATATAAATTTACCATGCAAAGAAATGGGAGGTGGGGAGAATAGTCCACATGGAGGAAACAGCATGTGAGGAGACCTTGAGGTCCATAGCCCATGACCTGATTAGTCAAGAAAGGGAATTTAGGAGCCGGCGTTGTGGTACAGTAGGCTAAGCTTCTGCCTACAGGGTCAGCATCCCATATGGACACTGGATCCTTTCCAGCTGCTCCTCTTCCAATCCAGCTCTCTGTTATGGCCTGGGAAAGCAGTAGAAGATGACCCAAGTCTTTGGGCGCCTGCATCCACGTGGAAGACCCAGAAGAAGCTCCTGGCTCCTGGCTCCTGGCTCCTGGCTTCGGATTGGCACGGCTCCGGCCATCACGGCCATCTGGGGAGGGAAACAGCAGGTGGAAGAACTCTCTCTCCACCCCCCAACTCTGACTCTGTAACTCTTTCAAATAAATAAATAAATCTTAAAAAAAAAAAAAAGAAAAAGAGATGGACTTTACGGGAGGAAAGAGCTGGTGGGGCACATGTCAGTTCCCTGGTGGGTCCTCTCTCCATGGAAACTTCCCTAAGGGAAGGTGACACTGCTTGCCCTTGGTCTGTCCATGCAAGCATTTTTATCCTTTGACTTATGTGTAGCCTTATAAATTCCTTCTTTCCTTCCTTTAAATAGTAACCTGGGGAATTCTGTCATTGCCTAAATTTGACATCCTAACAAACTAAGAGGGTTGAATAAGCATCTTGGCCTTAATGCAACTACAACCTAAACCTAGATCTGTTATGATCTGAGGAAACAATATACCTTAACCTCCTCAAACATGAGGCATCTGTGGGTCAGGAAGCTCTGTCCACCTTGCACAGTCACGAACCAACCACGTGAGTCCTTACATGTGTCGTAGCTGGCTGACTACGTAAACACAAGACTCATGCCTACATGCCTGACTCAGTCACAGGGTGGAGTGTCCCAGGCTAACTAGAAGGGCTGAGGGGACATCTCAGAGCCAGGAGACACACTTGAAATCTGAACCTCACCACATGCATGTAAAGAGACGAAGAGAGAGCAAGTTAGAAAGATGAATTAAGGCAGAGTCTTTCCTTTTAGTGAAAAACAAAAATAAAAATTTCACATTCGGGATTCATAAGAATACTGATGATAAATGAAATGATGACTGTGGGTGCTCAACAATGAGAATTGGCTGAGAGGAACCAAGATTGGTGTTGGTCACACACATGCAGATACACACACACTTCAGCCACAGTTCCTCTCTCCTGCAAGCAGTCACAAAATTTACTATAGAGACTACCTGGTAAGTATTACCTGTCAGTGCCCTGTGGCTGGTGCACTGAACAGAAGTAGAGATGTGTGACTTGTAGGTTACTACCAGCCTGAAGGTGGATCTCTGCAAAACTACACAGGGCTAGGGGAGCACAGGGAAAAGCAGCCAACCCCAGTTCACTTACCCAGGATGTGGGGAAAACAGCACCCTCACAGGTTCCTACAAGGACCAAAGAGGGCACTCTCTGTACAAACAGCCGGCACTCCTTGCCCAGCCCCATGGATGTTTGGTGATGGATGGGAATGAAGTATTGGGATAAAAACGCTGACACTAAGAAAGTGGGCAATGACTCAGACAATGACAAAACCAAGACTGAAAAAAGATTTCGACAGATTTGAACTATCCTGACACCAAGTCAGGACAAACCAGAGTCCTCCAGTTAGGTTGAAAAACAAGCCTGAGGTGGATACGGGGTGGTGAAAATGGGTTAATTTGTTTAATTGTGTTAAGAGCAGTCATGATGAAGTGGAGGCTGATGGTGTGATGTGGTGGCCAGACAAGAAAAGCGACCCTGGACTGCATTGCAATGAGAGTTACTACTGCTATGATTATGGGAACTCAGAGCCACACCATTCACTTAAGGGGTTCACATGCACATCTTATTAGCTGAGGAATGTTGTTGGGTCCTGAGAAGTAGTTGCTCCCATGAACTCTGGGTCGGGGACCTCTGGTATTTTGCTTCCAGGCACCAATTGTAAAACAACCTGGAGGAGAGGTGGTGTGTTGTGGCCAAAGCCATAGAAACCAGCTCAGCCCTGAAGTGCACCTGCTGTGTGACTTTAACAAAGTGACTTTACCTTTCCAAAGGCAGCCAGTAAATGGGAATGGCGATTCCTGCCCTATGTATCCATCTGGAAGATTAAGTGCGGCCCTGCACCTGGCACGGAGTCTGCACACATAAAGGACAATCGAATGTTATCAGGCACACAGGCCTCTCATTTATCCAAGTATGGAGACTGCTCTGTAGGTCACCTGCAATCTGTTTGAACCCAGAACAGTTTCCTTCTGATCCCTTCATCGTCACACCCTGGGCCCCTCGCATACCCCCACCCCTGTGGGAGCTGAGTTGGGGAAAGACCCAGACAGACCAGTTGTTTTTGCCACCGGCTCCAAAAAGCCCTATAGGCAATTACAGCCTGTCCCCCAGATCTTGGAATCCTCCACACCTAAAATGTTAACCAAGCACCTACTGTGGGCCAGGGGCAGGTGCAGAGCCTGAGCAGTTAACATGGTCCCCACCCTCGTGGAATTTATCATCTGGTGGAAAGTCGGACAACAAAATGGAATCAGAGGGAGGGAGAGGAGACAGTGAAACATAAAAGTCACAGATCGCCAGAGAAGAACAGAATAGGAGAATTTTAATTTGGTGTCTCAAAAGGCAGACTATTGGCCGGTTCAACTCCTCTCAACCAGCTCCCTACAGTTGCACCTGGGAAATCAGCAGAAGGTGGCCAGAGTACTTGGATCCCTTCCACCCATGTGGGAGGCCCAGATGAAGCTCCTGGCTGCTGGCTTCCACCTGGCCCAGCCCTGGCTGCTGCAGCCATTTGGGAAAGATCTCCATTCTCTCTCCATTCTCTCTCCCTCTCTCTCTCTCTCTCTCTGTAAGTAAATATTTAAAAAAAAAAATTAGGCTCTTTGAAGAAGTGGGTATGAGCTGAGCACCAGGGAAATCCCCTAGTGCAGGAACCTCCCCCCAGCTTGCCCCCCCCCCCCCCCGCCATGTTAGCAGCTGCTTCCTCTTAGGCACTGAGCACTCCCAGCCTCGCAGAGGGAGCCCCTGGCTCTCTACTCACAGGGACCTGCTTCTTACTCAGTCCCCGCCACACCCCCCAGGAGCTCCATCTCCCCTACCACCTAATGACACCTTCCCCTTTCTCAGAGCTCTGCTGTAATTAGGGGCCTGCTCTGGCTCTGTGCTTGGCTCTAAGCTTCTGGAAAATTAGTACTTGCCCCAGAGCCACCTGCTCCTGGCCTGCTGTCCCTCTCCTCCCACTCACCGGCACCCCCCACAGCCCAGGAACAGAGAAGGGGAGTTTTGCATGCAGCCACAGGGCTAAGGCTCAGGCCTCCCTTGACCACTATTTCTTCTACATGATCCTAGTCTAGAAAAGGGGCAAAGACAGAGACCCTGAGAAGTAGAGAGGAGACAGTGTGAGGGAAAGAGACAGGCAAAGCACTGGGGAGGGAGGGAGGGAGGCAAAGACACACTAGAAGAATGACACATCGACGTGGAAAGAAAGCCCGGGGACAAGGAGAGAGGCCAGGGGCATGGGGAGGCTGGGCCAGTGGGATGCAGTTGGCCATGCAGACATGCATTCCTATAAGGAAACTTGGTAGATAAAAAGATGAAAGGGTTTAACCTTTCTTATTTTGCTGATTCCTTGCCTTATAAGGAGGATTTACCAATTCATGTTTCCAATCATTTGATGAGAATGTTCTTTCTTCCACTCTCCTTCCAACACTGAATAGCATCAATCACTACCATGTATTTTATCAACAATTAACCCTTCACTGAAAGACTTCCTTAGATGAGTTTAAGCTCATCAGCCTACCTTCACCAGCATCCTGGGAAAGTTGCAATTGAAATGATTTTCTTTGTTCTTGTCTCTTGTAGGACCACCTGGTCTCTTCCCTCAGCCAATAGTGGAGAAAACGTATCACTCTTGCCTGGTAAAGGCTTCTCTCTCGGGATCCCACAGTGCCCTGGGTTTCATGGATGAGCAGCTGGCTCACGGAGGAGTCCTGAGGTTGAACAGGAATCCCACTAGTTGCTGTGGCGTAGCAGGTAAAGCTGCCGCCTGCAGTGCCAGCATCCCATATGGGTGCCAGTTCAAGTCCTGGCTGCTCCACTTCTGATCCAGCTCTCTGCTATGCCCTGGGAAAGCAGTAGAAAATGGCCCAACTCCTTGGGCTCCTGCACCTGCATGGGAGACCCAGAAGAAGCTCCTGGCTTCTGGCTTTGGATCGGCACACCTCTGGCCATTGCAGCCATTTGGGGAGTGAATCAGATAATGGAAGACCTTCCTTTCTCTTTCTCTCTCTCTCTCTCTCTCTCTCTCTCTCTCTCTCCTTTCTCTCTCTCTCCCTCTCCCTCTCCCTCTGCCTCTCTGTAACTCAGCCTTTCAGATAGATAGATAAATTAATAAATAAATCTTTTTAAAACTGGAATGCAGCATAAAGAATATTGAGATAAGAGAGAAATATTTATTAAACTGTGTATTCATTAAGTATTACACATTGCATTTTGTCCTAATTTTTAATGAACTTGAAAATAATGGGAAAAGAATCAGTGAATAACACTGTGGCATTTTTATATTTTTACACAGCAAAGTTTTTTATATTTTTAAAAACTCTATTTGTTTTATTTATCTGAAAACAGTTTTATCACCTGTGTCTACAGTGTCAGCACAGGGCACACAACCATTGGCATGGCTCCCAGACTTGATCTGGCTGCCCCACCTCGGGTTGCATGCTGCTCCTTGTGGGGTCAAAGGGGGGGGGGGTTGGATACAGACATCTCCATGAGCAGGACTAGGCAGACATTGACCAAAGATGGAGAGTTCCAAGAAAGAAAGGCGAAAATGCTGGCTGCCGGTCAGTACCAGTGAGGACAGGAGCACCGTGCCGGTTCCTGGGTGCGTGCATGCAGTAGGTGAGGGATTCAGGGTGGGGGGAAAGAGCCTTGAGAGAGGTGGGTCCTGGACACACTGTAAGAACGCAAAATCCTCTCCTCCCCATCATCCCCGCAACAATGACAAGAAGTCCCCTAAGAACTAAGTCCAAACAAGTGCATCAAGGCGCTCCGTAAGGACAGCAGTGAGGGTTTCAGTCTCCCTGGACGCACGGGGAAGGGCGTCTGAAGTGTCCCCCAAAACCAGGTGTCCTCCTCCCCCTGCCCCTCCCCGTCCCTCCCTCCTCAGCCACCTTCCCTGCACCTCCAGAACGAGACCTAGGGGAAAGCGAGTGTTTTATGGCGTTGGACCCCCCGGGAAGGGCCAACACCCAGAGACTGGGAAGGGGACGAGAGGGAAGGGGCGCGTGGCGCAGCGCGGTTCTCCATGGGTGCGGTGCAGTCCGCAGACTCCGGGCACCGCCGGGGACAAGAGGTCCGGGAGAGGAAAGTCGAGGTCTGGTACCCATGGCGGGGGTCTTTTTAGAGGTGACTTAACACCCCGGGGGTCAGTGAGGGCAGATGGGATGGGGGTGGGGGTGTGGAGTGACTTGTGGGTCGCAGGGCCCCGGCCGCGGACCCGGAACCTCGGACACCACGGACTGGCGCAGCCGCACAGGCCAGGGGACTCGCCGCGGACAGGGACCCACAGCTCGGTGATCACATTTCGGGCGACTTCCGTGATGCGGCTGCGGCTGCGGCTGCGACTGCTCTAGAAACCTGGAATCCTGGGGCTGAGGGCAGGAAAGGGGGCGAGGGTCACGGCTGTGAGGTCCCAGGTGAGGAGGCAGCAGGGACCCGGGGACCAGAGCGGCCCGTAGCCCGCGGCCAGAGCTGTCCTCTCCCCTAAACCAGGACGCGGCGGGACGGGAGCAGACACCGAGCCCCCAGCACCTTGGGATTGATGCTCGGATGCTCGGAGGGTCTCTCTGGCTCTGGGCTGGGCTTGCTGGACACGCCCAGAGCTCCCGAGCCAGAGGAGTTTGGTTTGCAAGCGGCAGCCTGAGAAGGGGGCTGAGCTTGGACTCCAGGACTTGGTCCCTGAGACTGGGCGGAGGGCCGGTTCAGCACAGAGCTCTCACCTGACACATAGACACCAACACAGGCAGCTCTGCTCAGCCCAGGACGCCGAGGCCTTCATGGGCCCCCGCTCCTCCCAGGACTCCTATCCACACCTTTCCCAGGGACACTCAGGACTCAGGGACCCTTCATCCACAGGCGCAGGAGGCACTGCTGTCTCAGGCTCCTGAAGGGGAGAACGAGCTTGGACCACGTGGGGTCAGGCCCAATTGCGCGTTCCGGGTTTTAGGCTCCCACCCCAGGTCAAGTTCCTGCCCCCAACCCAGAACAGTGCTCCTTTCCACTTTGCAATTGCCCCTCCCAATGCCCATGGACACTGTTTCGGGGATGTTCAGGGCCGCCTGGAGAGCAGCTGTCCTGTGTCCTGTCCTCAGGCAGGAGTGCACCTCGCCTGCTCTCCTGGAGCCCCACACGGCCGTCACTGCTGTCCTCCTCATCCATCAACTTGGTCTCATCCTACCCATCCACACCCACGTCCCGGAACTGCTCCCATCAAACCCTGTTTTTCCATATCCCCACCGCAGGCCAGGACTCGGCCTCCTGGGGAGCAGCCAGGAACTCAGGGAGAGCCACTGCCCACTCACTTCCCGCTACAGCTCTGGGGCACCACCTGCTCCGGAGTTCTTAATAATCAGAGAGAACAACGCGCCTCCACAATGGACAGATCCAGCAGGCAGCTCATCTACAGCTGACCCACCCTAAAGCCAGGGAGACTGGCAGGCACACAGGACGTCCTTGGCCTGCAGAGGGCACGCGGCAGGAAGCACCCAGCAGGCCCTGCGTGGCTCAGTGGAGCAGCTGAACCTCAACATGAGGCAATCACCAGGTAACTTCAGCACACAGGCCACTGAGCCAGACCCCGCCCAGCATCCCCAGACCAGTCAGCATGCACCACCAAACAGACCACAAAACATGAGATGTTTGCAGCTCAAAAGCAGCAAAGAAGCAGATCCTTTTAATCACCTTTACCCCAAATGTCTCCTTCTCAATGTTGTCTTATCTGTGGGAACACTGACCGTGGGAGGAGTCGGGTCAGCTGTCCGGCTCAGTGGAGCGCCCGTGCAGGAGGCAGATCATCCCGAGGGTTACACCCAGGCTGACCCTCATCAGCAGGAGCGCTAGTGGCAGACCGCCCACATCTAGCACAGCCCGCCCGTGGCCTTGGGCATCTGGGTTCATCCGCGGTCTCTTCCTGCTCCTCAGTCCCCGGGTCTCTGCAGGTGGCAGGTGACAGGGCAAGGTGAGTCTCTCTGTAATGTCTCTGCATTCAGGCCTTGGTCTCTGTGGGTGTTTACCCAGTCAGAGGCTGAAAGACAGTCACAGCTCTCATCCCCCAGCCTCCCGTGGTGGAAACCATCAAGAGTGGTTCATGGTGGTCAAAGTCCTCTCTCCGTGCTCTGTCTGGGATTTACCCCGAGCTGCGGTTTGAGCTACTTTTTCTTACATAAATCGGCGCTATCTTTCTACGCTTCCAGCAGCAGTGGCATCTAAGAGAGGGAGAGAAGAAAATGAATGGGTCAGGTCCTGCTGAGAGCTGATGCAGCCAATGCTCCAAGGTTACAGAGCCCAGAGAGAGACTGAGCTCCTGCAGAGAGGAAGGGCTGACGGGGCGTCTCGGGCTGCTGAAAGGCACAACTGACCTGACCTGAGCTGACAGCCCAGCCTGTGGGGCAGAGTTAGGGCCCTCGGCCTTCCCAAACCAGGGTGGGTGCTCTCACCCAAGTTCTCCTGACCCCTTTGGCCTTTCGCACCTGCTTGTGATGGTCTTAGCTTCCATCTAGCTGACTTTGCTACAGGAAGGAGGGGACTCCACACAGAGACAGTTCTGTCATAGTTCTATGGCTCCATAATCCTTCTAACCCCAGGTGCTTGTCAGAGGAATTCTTTTAAAGGGCCAATGCCTGAATCCCACCTTTCCAATGTAAATCATACTTTTTAGTGCTGGTCAGAGTCCCTGCTGACTCAGAGCTCACCCAGTGTTAACTCTGAGACTGCTCGGTTGACCTGCCCTATGTCGCACCATACCTGTTGCATTCCCCCTCTCTCCTAGCATGCGTCTCCTTCCCCCTGGCCTTGAAGAATCAGTCTTCTCTCTGACATCATCATGTAATAACTCCCTTTCTTGAAACTCTACTAGGTTCCTTGATTCCGATTCAACTGAGTCCATTATTCTAGATTCTTCACTGAACATACAGAAGTGCTCTTAGGACTTAAATATGGAGGCCAGAATTGCTCAGCACATAATGCCCTGTGCCCTTTGAAATCTTGGCCTCTCTGTGTACGTGGAGCTGACTTCCCTTTAGAGTGCCACCTGGTCCTCCCGATCCTACTCCTACTCCTCCTACACCAGCTCAAATGAGCCCATGAGGTGCAGGTGCTGAGTCAGGTGAAGCCCCTGGCAGTTTAGCACAGGTGTGCATTTCTGGGAAGAAAAACCTACTCCAGACCAATAGAGATCTCTCCCCTGTGGCCCACGTTCCAGTTCATTTTTGGAATCAGAGTTTTCCTCCTCAGTTTTAGCACTTCCAATTCACATGTGGAAATAAAGGGTGTAGGATTGCATGAGGCTCTCAGAAGGACACCGGAGAAGATGCATGTCCAAATGACTTATGAAGACAGGGCTCCCAGAAGAAGCAGGCATCGGATGGATTGGGGAAGCAGGAAATGGGAAACAAGGAAGCCAAGAAAGGTGTGTGTGCTTTCAGGCAAGCTCCCAGAAATCACACCGAGGATATGGGGCTGGGTTTGCTGTGGACTGATAAGGAAGATGGGGTGGCAGCAGGGAGAGCCCAGCAGTGCTGAGAGTGCAAACAGGTGACAGACAGGATAGGGTGGTGGCTGCGGGCAGTGGAGGTAACACCTGATAGAGGTCCCATCCACCGTAGGAGAGAAGAAGCCTGGTGACAGAATAAGCTAGAAGGCCAAGTAGGGAGTAATAAGGAACAAAGGCAGCAAAGATGAACAGACGTGACTACCTCTCCATCCTAGCCTTGAAGGCTGCAGTATCCAGCATGAGTTTCCCTCCAGGCTTGACTGCAGTATTCTTGATATTCTGTTGGCCGGGGAATCTGCATGCCAGTTCCCACGTGCTGGGCTCTGGCTTGTCTCAACCTGCTGGCCAGAGAATCTGCATGCGGGTTTCCACTTGCTGGAGTGTGGTTTTCCTTTCCTTTCATAATACTCATGCCAGGGAATTTGCATGCGAGTTTCCCCCTGCTGGCCTGTGGTTTTCCTTTGGTAAACTTGTGCTTCAGGGCACTTAGGACATCGAAGTGGCGACTGATGACATGAGGTCCCCCATATCCTTGGCCGGAACTTCGGGGCACTCCCTGTACCTGGGGAGGGTTCCTCATCCCTCGAGGAGAATGCAGCCTCGGCTCTGATAACAGAAAGACAGTCAGCAGTATCCGCTCGTGTCCACACTCTCTCTGTGATCTGTCCCCTGTGCATGATGATCAATCCAGATATCCATCAACTGTTGACTGGATGAAGAAATTATATAACATACACACACACACACACACACACTATGGAGTATTATTCAGCTGTAAAAAAAATGAAATCCTGTCTTTTGCAACAAAATGGACACAACTAAAAACCATTTTACTTAGTGAAATAAGCCAGTCCCAAAAAGACAGATACCATATGTTTTCCGTGCTCCGAGGTAACTATTAGAGTATGTAAAATGTAATGTATTGGAGTAAAATGGACATTCTGAGATTTAATGATTGTTTACTGCCCTTGTCTCTTCTTTTGAAGGACAGTGGATTTTTTGCTTCATGCTATTTCTCAAACTCTTTTACTTAGTGTATAGTTAATTTTATGATCATTAAGTAAACTGAAAGTAGATCTTTGTAAAAATTCAGAGTGGGAGTGGGAGAGGGAGGAGGAAGAAAGGTTGGAGCGTGGAGAGGGAAGGGAGGGTGGAAAATCTCACTATGTTTCTAAATCTGTATATATGAAATACATGAAACTTGTATAACTAAATCAAATTTTAAAGATTGAAAAACAACAACAACTTTCTCTCACTATTGTTGGAAATGTGAAATCATACAGCCATGATAGTTGACACTTTGGAAGTTTCTCACAGTTAAAGAGAGTCTTATCACATGACAAAGCCATTGCTGTCCTAGATATTTATGCAAATGTATGAAACCTTAAGTACATTTTAAAAACTTGCATGAGTATTTATAGCAGGTTTATTCAAGTTGTCAAGAACTGTATGTAACCAAGATATTCTTCATTAAGTGAAAGATAAAATATATTGTGGTATGTTCAATGCCATGGAATAATATTCAGAAATAAAAAGAAGTAGGCTAGCAAGCCATGAAAAAGCACTAAGGAATTTTAGTTTATTTTTAATTTTAAAGATTTATTTATTTATTTGAAAGACAGAGTTAAAGCGAGAAAGAGGCAGAGACGGGGGTGAGGAGGTGTGTGTCTTCCAACTGCTAGTTCAGTCCCCACATGGTGGCTGCAACAGCCAAGAATGGGTCAAGCCAAAGCCAAGAGCTTCAGCGGGGTCTCCCACATGGGTGCAGGGGCCCAAGCATTTGAGCCATCTTCCACTGCTTTCCTAGGGATAAGTAAGGAGCTGGATTGGAAGTGGAGCAGCCACGACCCAAACTGAAGCCCATAAGGGATGCCAGCACTGCAAGTGACAGCTTTTCCTGCACACCACAGCACCAGCCCCAAGAATTTTAAATAGTTAATATGAGGGGCCAGTGCTGTGGTGAAGCAGCTAAGGGGCCACCTTTAGTGCCGCCATCCCATATGAATGCCAATTCAAGTCCCGGCTGCTCCACTTCCAATCCAGTTCTCTGCTAATGTGCCTGGGAAAGCAGTACAAGATGGCCCAAGTCTTTGGGCCCCTGCACCCATGTAGAAAGACATGGAGGAAACTCCTGGCTCCTGGCTTCAGATGAGTGCAGCTCTGGCCACTGCAGCCAACTGGAGAGTGAACCAATGATGGAAGCTCACTCTCTCTCTCTCTCTCTTACTGCCTCTCCTCTCTCTGTGTAACTCTTTCAAATAAATAATAAGTCTTTAAAAAAAATAGTTAGATAGCTCTGAAAATCTATATACTGTATGACTGCAGCTATCTGCTATAGGACATTGTAGAAAAAGTCAAAACTAAAGAGACAGTAAAAATATCAGTGGTCACCTAGGGTGGAGGGGGACAGAAGGGATAAACAGTGAAAGACAGGTATTCTTTATGATGAAACCACTCTAGATATTGAGATGGGGATTCATGACATGCATTTGTAAAACCCCACGAAGGAATGAACTATAATGTATAAGACTATAAAACCTCAACACGAGGAATTAACTATAATGTAAACTATGATGCTTAGTTAATATTAATATATGAATACTGGCTTATCAATTATAAAAATGTACCACAGTAATACAAAGGGAAAGTGTGGGAGGCAACGAGGGAAATGTGGGAACCTTCTGTACTGTCTGCTGAGTTTATCTGTAAATCTATAACTGCCCTATACAATAATGTCTGTTAATTTTTTAAAGTCAGGATGCAACTGCTCCAAATCAAAATGTTGGTGGCATTCTGTGGCTGTATGTTTAATATGGCATATTGAGATGCACCGACCTGGAGTGAGAGCAGTTAGTAAACTGGCTGCATGTGCCTTCATCTGCAAGCCCTAGGAATACCCCCCAGACTCCAGATGGTGTATTAGTTGGCTCAAAGAAGTCTCACCCAGTAGTGTGCAGGGAGACCAGGGACATCTGGAAAGGACAGGGAGAAATCACTGACCATATCAGGGGTGAAAATGTGCAGTCACTGAACCTCACAGCCACCCAGCAGCACCCACATACCGAGGAGACTGGGAGGACCTGAGGACGACAGGGGGCGCTCCCTGCCTGAAAGACAGAGCAGCTCCAGGATCAGAAGCCACAAAAACAACTTAGGTGACAACAAAGTCTTCTGAAGACTAAAACATCATCACGGGGTTTGAGCCACCGACCTTTCCTCAGACTCTCCTGTGAACCAGTCCTCACCCAAGATACCAGAACATTGCGGGAACCCAACATGCGGTGGTGTCCACCAAGCAAGAGTGATGTGTTTTCACTGCTATCGGCTCAGATTATCTGAGAAAATGGAACAGTCACCAAATACAAGAGAACAGAGAAAACCATACTGACTGCAGCTTTTCCAGACCAACTGAGTGAAACTTGATTCGAGGAAATCTCACAACCAGGGATTAAATAAGGGCAAAAGGAAGTGGTAGGCACAGGACTGCCCAGTTTCAGCAAGAGGATGGCGAGTAGAATATTCTCATCAATGGCAAGGAATGTGAATCGTAAAATCTTTGCCAGATGACAGGGCAGAAACAACATAATCACACAAGTATAAAGACTTTTGTCCAGCAATTCCCTTTACAGGAATACAACCTGGAGATACTTCCACAATTAATAATGGACATACAAAACATGCATGGATACGATGTCTCTTGAAACATGTATAATTATAAAAATTGGAATCTTTTGGGGAACACTTATATACACAAATAGATTGGTCCACTGACAACATGACAAGTTATACACATGTCTAAGACAACACAGCAGACTGTGAAAATGCAGATGCTGATGAACATCTCAGAAAACAATGGGTTAAGCTGCTGCTTACCATGCAGATATCCGGTCCCAAAGAGCCAGTTGAGTCCCAGCTGCACAACTTCTAATCCAGCTCCCTGCTAAGGTCTCTGGGAAAAGAGCGGACAATCGCCATCTAAGTGAGAAATCTGGGTAGAGTTCCTGGTGCCTGGCTGTGGCCTGACCCAGCACGGCTACTGTGGCATTGGGGAATGAAGCAACAGTTGAAGGTTTTTCTCTGTCTCTCCTTTTCATTCCATTGCTCTTTGAAATAAATTAATAAATCTTTAAAAATATGAAAATCCAAGTAGGAAATACTCCAATTTGAACATTTTTAAATGTCTTTCTTTACCATGTGTGGGGAGCAACTGGGAGCAACTCGGACTAGACCAAGTTACTGGAATTAAGACTTATTCTATGCATCTGCTCTCCCACAATATGGCGCTGGGAGAGGAGGAAACAGCTTCTACACAGCTGCCTCCAGTTCAACCAATAAACTGTAGGACCTGCTCCTGATTGGAGGAGAGCAGCGTACTCGGCGTGTGGGTAGCAGAGTTGGGATTGGTGGAAGAGGACTATAAAGGAGGAGAGAGACAACATGCACCAGGAACATCTATCTGAAGGAAAACCTGTGCAGCCCCCAAGAGAGCCGGCCAGCGGTGTGCCGCTCCCCCGCGGAAGTGGGGAAAGCGGCAGGGGGAACCGCCCTTCCACGGAGGTGGAAGGGTCGGTAGCCAATCCGGGAAGAACCAGCAGCAAACCCGGGGAGGGCCGAGCAGACAAAAGAACAGCGCAGGGTCCTGTGTCGTTCCTCCACGAAGACGGGGAGCGACAACCATGAACACTATGCAACTCTATTGAAGAAACTGAAATGACAGACCAAAAAAAAGAAAGAAACCCTGCTTTAATGGATTATAAGAATCAGTATTATTAAAATGTCCATTCTACCCAAAGTGACTTAGATTCAAGGCAACCTCCATCAAAATACTAATGACATTCTTCACAGAACTAGGAAACACCACCTTAGAATTCATATGGAAGTACAAAAGGCATAGAACTTGCTTTGACACTTGCGGTAGAGAGGGTATTCCTTTTTTTTTTTTTTAAAGATTTATTTATTTATTTGAAAGAGTTACACAGAGAGAGAAGGAAAGGCAGAGAGAGAAAGAGAGAGGTCTTCCATCCGCTGGTTCACTCTGCAATTGGCCGCAATGACTGGAACTGCAATGATCCAAAGCCAGGAGCCAGGAGCTTCTTCTGGGTCTCCACACAGGTGCAGGGGCCCAAGGACTTGGCCATCTTCTACTACTTTCCCAGGCCATAGCAGAGAGCTGAATCAGAAGTGGAGCAGCTAGGACTTGAACCAGTGCTCATATGGAATACCAGTACTGCAGCTGGTGGCTTTACCCGCTAGGCCACAGCGCCGGCCCCAGGGATTCTGTATTAATGTGAATCGTGGAGGTTCCAGCAGGATTTGTCCACATCTCATGTAAAGCAGATTGAAGAAGGATAACAGAAAGGCTAGTTAAGAAAGAATGTGCATTACAAACTCCTCTTTAAAAGACTGGGAAGGGGCACCGGTTCATGTCCCTGTTGCTCCACTTCTGATCCAGCTCCCTTCTAATGACCTGGTAAAAGCAGCCTAAGATGGCCCAAGCTCTTGCACCCTTGCTTCCCATGTTGGAGACGTGGAAGAAGCTCCTGACTTGAGCCTGACCCAGCCTCAGCCATTTCAGTCATCTGGGGAGTAAACCAGTAGAATGAAGATCCCTGTCTCGCCTTCTCTCTCTGTAACTCTTACAAATAAATAAATAAATCTCAAAACAAACAAGCAAAAAAAGACTTCAAAGACTCAAAACCCAGTCCCAGCTCGCCTTGAACCACCAACTTTTCAGTTCAGCTGTGAAAGAACTAATGATGACCCAACAGAAGCAAGCACGGCCGCTTTGTGCACATCCTCTTGCCCCGGGGCTGCAGCATCCGGGTCCCTCTGCTTGGTATAACTGTGCCGGCTCCAGAAGACATTAAACCCAAAACTGTGTGGAAATGACTACAGCTACCCTAAAGTGAAAATGAGAACATCAGAAAACTCTGTTAGCCTCTATGTTATAGGACTCACCTACGCCCGCCCACGGAAGGAAATGCTTCATTTCTTGAAGAAATCAAAGGTAACACTTTTATGTCACCCTCATAAGTAGACGATATCTTCACACCCATTTCTCCGGACAGCACAGCAAAGGCTGCGCACCCCGCCGGCCTCTGCCCTCCTTGGCGCCTGGCCCTTCCCCACCAGGCTCTTTCCAGGGAACTTCGGGGCGCTGCTCCCAGCGTCCTCCTCCCAGTGAGCCTCGGTTCTGAGGCCCCCAGGCCAGCGCCTTTTCTTCTGGAAATCCTGTCACTCAAACCCGGGCTTCCCACACAACCACCTGCGTTTATCTTTCTTCTCCTATTCTGATTCTAGGTGATCAGCCAAATGTTTCCCCTTTGCTGACCCCTGTCGTCGCGGTCTTCGTTTTCTACTGCTCTTTTCCCTACGCTGGTGTCCGCATAAGGTTTCATTAAGGGCAGCAGGCCACCCACGCCCTTTGCGGCCTCCACGCGGGAATTAGCGACGTTACGGACGCTCTCGGTGCGCGGCTGCGCAAAGGGCGTGAGGCTGGGCGAGGCCTGCGCCGGGGCGCGAGGGCAGAGGTGAGGCTGGGCGGGGCCTGTGCCAGGGGCGCGCGAGGGCAGAGGTGAGGGTGGGCGGGGCCTGTGCCAGGGGCGCGCGAGGGCAGAGGTGCGGGTGGGCGGGGCCTGCGCGAGGGTGGGGAGGCGTTGAGGATCGCGCGGTGGGCGTGGCCTCTGTGGCCCCGGCCGTTTTTGGCGGTTTGAGGGTCGCTGTGCAGGCCCCGAGTTGCGAGCGCTCTGGGATTTCTGCTGCCCTGGGAATGAATGAGTCCAGGGCTGCTGGCTGAGTTGAGCAGAAGTTTGTGCTTCGTGGAGGGGCTCCCACTAGGGGTGAGGGGACCCTAGAGACGCTGGGGGTAGAATATCAGGAAGACGGGGCTGTGCCTGGGACACGGGTGGCGTCCGTTCCCGTGCACTAGGACGGACGTCTTAAAAGAGAAGGCCACCTCCCCAGGGTAAGGCTAGCTTAGCGTTAAGATAAGCGTGTGGGAGTTCCCTCCTCGTTGAGGTTGAATGATCTCTACGCCAACCTTGAACTTGCATCTTTATTGTTTCTGCTTATTCCGGTCCTTCCTTCCCTATTCATGCTCCATCTCTCTGGCACAGTTCCTGGGGCTGCCGGAGACGCCAGTGGAGAGCAGCGTTGGCCATGCAGGCGTCCTTCGTGTCCATTCTCTGTCACATTGCTGAACTGCTGCGCTCTGAGGTACTGCGTTTCCTTTCCAGTTACGGGGTTGGGGGGTGGGGGGCAGGTTCCATGAGCTTTCCCTGAGTTTATGCTGTGAATGAGCTTTTGGGAGCATACTAGAAAGTGAATGTGCTACCCGCAGGCTGTAAGTTTTCCTCCATCTCTGGCGTTACCTTCTCTCCAAGTTTGCTGGAATGTGTGGAAGGCAACCAACCCTTCAGCCTCTCCTTGGGCTTCATTTTCAATTGCCTGAGACACCTAGAACACGCCAGCAACCCTGCCCTGTGACCTGGCAGTAAATGGGAAGTGGTCACCGCACTTCCTTCTTGGAAAGGCCCCATGAGTTAGGACAATTCTCTCACCTCCTAGAAAATACTTCATATTAGAGTTCAAGGCCCGAGGGTGCCAAGGGTTCCAGGATTCTCATAGGTGCTGCTGTCAGTTCAGAGACATCAGGTCAGGTTTGTTGTCGGCCAGCTTGATCTCTGCACAGGGCGCCTCCTCCAGTCCTAGCACACCCACTGGTCTCTTTGTATTTTCCTCAATCTGTACTTTCTCCGTGTGTCACAGAGACATCATGATCCTCACAACTCAATGAGTGGTTCATACCCACATACCCAACTGACCACTTATACCAGTATGGTGCCTAGTAGGATGCGTACTGGCAGAGGTGCCTTTTTTTCTTTAATGGTGTAAAACAATATGCAGAGAAGTACATAAAATGAAAACATTCAGCTCAACACACTTCTACAAATTAGCATATGACTTAGGCAGCACTAGAATATATATTGCTTCTGGAAGATTCCAAGATACCCTTTCCTGTCACACCTCCAGCTCTGCCCTGAACACTTACTACCTATTTATCTTCGTGACGTTCTGTACCCTTTATGGTTTATAATTTTTTGCTCTTTATGTACCCTTTACAGATCTGGGTTTTAATCTATAATCACAAGATTTATTCTCTTATTCTTGACTTTCTTCACTGAAATTTATTCATCGAATAGTCATGAGCTACTTCTCCTCACTACCAATGGAATAGAACACAGTTTGTCCATTGTTTTACTGATAGACATTTGAGTTGTTCCCAGTTTGGACAAGTGTCCTTGAGCTATGAGCACTCATGGCTCTGAGTCACACAAGATACAATAGAACTACAGGATCCTGTGTTGTGGCAGTCCAAGCCTTTATGAGCTAAAAACTTCAAAGCAAAATATGTATAGTGTACAATTTATGTAAATATCAAATGAAAGTGAAAACACATAATACATTGGATAGACACATTCAGGATTGCAAGTTAAAGTGCTAATCACTGTATGTTCTGTACATATCCTCCTTACTCCATTCGGGTTTAATGCCTTCACAAATCCCATCCAAAATGACCAGGGGCAGCTGGATTTTGACTCGCAGAGCCCCTCTCTCCTACCCCCGACACCCGGAGTCCAGACCTGCACTTATATTTCATATTCAATATTCTTGTGTCTTGGATTCTCAGAATAACAAAAGAAGGGTTTAGAATTAAAGGTCTTGGAGGTGGGAGTAGTAGGTGACAGTCTTTCTCCTGCTGCAGGGTTTGGGGCCAAGCCCTGGGCAAGGAAAAGGAAAGGATTCCAAGAATAAGGGGAGAGGAGGAAGGGAGAGAGACAGTTTCTGTGGGAAGAAAGAAGGCTGAGTCCATGGTAGGCTATGTGAGCAGAATGGAGTGGGGGAAGTTCCAGAAGGGGAGCCTTCCATTCTCTGGCCAGGAACAAGGGCCAATGTATTCAGCTCCTGCTCCTCTCCCATCCGACTTCTCCCATACTCTGACTCCCTTCCTGCTTTCCCTTCCTCCTCCATCTCAAGATCCATAGAATGTATTATATGATCTGACTGTCTCTAGCCCCCTAAAAATCATACATTGAAATCCTAACAACCAGGGCCAGCATTGTGACATAGCAAGTAAAGCCGCCACCACCACACTTGCATCCCATATGGGCACCAGTTTGTATTCCAATTATTCTACTTCTGATACAGCTCCTTGCTAATGGCCTGGGAAAAGCAGCAAAGGATGGCTCAGGTTCTTGGCTCCCTGCCACGCATGTGGTAGACCCAGATGAAGCTCCTGGATTCAGCCTGACTCAGCCCTGGCTATTGTAGCCACTTGGAGAGTGAACCAGCTGATAGAAGATCCCCCCCCCCCTTTCACCTCCACCTCACCCACCCACCCCCCATCTCTTTAATTCTGACTTCTCACTTTCAAATAAATAAATACAGCTTTAAAAAAATCTTGACAACCAACATACTGGTGGTATCAGAGATGTTAACTTTTTTTTCAGATTTATTTATTTATCTGAAAGGTAGCATTACAGAGAGAGAGAGAGGAGAGACATAGAGATTCTCCATCCACTGGTTCACTACCCAAATGGTCTCAATGGCCAGGGCTGTGCCATGCCAAAGGCAGGAGCTCCCCCAGGTGTCCCATGTGGGTGACAGGGGCCCAAATACTTGGGTCATCTTCTGCAGCTTTCCCAGGTGTATTAGCAGGGAGGTGGATCAGAAGTGGAATAGCCGGGACTTGAACAGGCACCCATATTGGATGCCAGCACTACAGGCTCCAGCTTAACCTGCTATGCCACAACACTGGCCCAGAGGTGTTAACTTTTTATTTATTTATTTAAAGCAGAGAGAAACAGCTTACTCTGCTACATCAGTCAGGGTTGGATCAGGTTGAAGCCAGGAGCTTGGAATTTTTTTTTTTTTTTAGATTTATTTATTTGAAAGAGTTACACAGAGAAGGAGAGGCAGAGAGAGAGAGAGAGAGAGAGAGAGAGAGATATCTTCCATCCGCTGGGTCACTTCCCCAAATGGCCACAATGGCCGGACCAGGGCCGATCCAAAGCCAGGAGCTTCAAGCTTCTTCCGGGTCTCCCACACAGGTGCAGGGGCCCAAGGACTCTGGCCATCTTCCACTGCTTTCCCAGGCCATGGCAGAGAGCTGAATCAGAAGTAGAGCAGCTGGGACTTGGACCGGTGCCTATATGGGATGTCAGCACTGCAGGCAGCGGCTTGACCCGCCATGCCACAGCACTGGCCTCAGGTGTTAACTTTTGAGTGTTCATCATATCTTGAAGGCAGAGCCTCCTTGAAGGGCCTAATGCCTTTATGTAATCTGTCCTATAGAGCAGTCTTGGCCTTCTACAACGTAAGGATGCAGAGAGAAGGGGCCATTTGTGAGTCAGGAAATTTAGTAAATTGGATCTCATTAAAGTTAAAAACTTTGTCCCTCAAAGGACACCACTAAGAAGATAAAAAGCCACAAACTAGGTGAAAATATCCGCATTATCAAGTACCCAATAATGGATATTATATTCACAATATCTAAAGAATTTTAAACTCAATATAATGGAAAACAACCCATAAAATGAATGAAAGAAATCTGTCCTAGAGTCTTGAAAAGAAAGGTTCACATAAACTATTCAGAAATGTTTGTGACAATATTATTCATAATAGCAATAATAAGAAATAAGGGTTAATTGCAAGTAGATGGATAAACAAAATGGAGTATATTTGTACAATAATCTTCTATTCATCAACAAAATCTAGATATCATGGATAAACCTCAAAAAGATTATGCTAAGTTAAAAAGGCAATCATAAAATACTACATATTGTATTATGCCATTTGTATGAGTTATTGGAAATAAACATTTATAAACACAACAAATAGAATACTGGTGGCTTCAGGCTAGAGGAAGCAATGAGATTTGTTATAGTAGCACTGAAGAATTTGGGAAGGTAAAGGAAATGTTCCAAAATTGGATTATGGAGGCTGGTGCTATGGTGCAGGGGTTAATGCCCTGGCCTGAAGTGCCAGCATCCCATATGGGCACCGGTTCAAGACCCGGCTGCTCTACTTCCAATCTAGCTCTCTGCTATGGCCTGGGAAAGCAGTAGAAGATAGCCCGAGTCCTTGGGCCCCTACACCCACGTGGGAGAACCGGAAGAAGCTCCTGGCTCCTGGCTTCGGATTGGTGTAGCTCCGGCCTTTGCAGCCGATTGGGGAGTGAACCATCGGATGGAACACCTCTCTCTCTCTCTCTGCCTCTCCTCTCTCTGTGTAATTCTGACTTCCAAATAAATAAGTAAGTCTTTTTAAAAATTTGATTATGGTATTATTTGAACAACCTATATCATTATTCTTAGAATGAGTAAATTTTATTGCATGTAAATTTAATTTCTAAAAATGTAAGGATGAGATAGGCCTAAATCAGAGGGTTATTGGGTGCTGTGGTTCAGTGGTGAATACTGTGATTTGAAATGCAGCAACCTGATGTCAATACATATGGTAACTTCTGATGTCATGTGCCCAAGAAAGGGACCTTACAACCTAGAGGGCTAGGTGGAGCTGACCTCAGTCCTTCAGGTAGTGCAGGGAAACCAGTGATACCAGGTAAAGACCCAAAGGCACCCGTTACTATGAGAAGGTCAGGGAAAGGGAAGGAGAAGCGTGATACATAAATCTCCTTCAGAGTCTTGGATGAGGACGACAGGGTTTCAGTACTGAGTGGACACAGACCTGTAACCATGGTTCACAGAAGGCAGCACAGACATGAACTACCATGAACCTATGTGCTGCTGATGGTGTTGAACGAGTGTATTCGAGTGTCTTCAGAAAGTTCACAGGAAATGCATATTATCAGAAACTATGCATGGATCCCAAATTGTTTACACCAAAACAAACATATTTCTATTTTATTTTCCATGAGTTATGAAGTTCACTCATACTCCTCAATCTATCACTATATGTAATTGATTTTATCTTGATCCTTATTATTTTCTTTCTTCTTAGCTTAATATCAGTTTACTCTTCTTTAGTACTTTCTTCAAGTAGAAACTGTGGTTACTGGCTTGGATCTGTTTCTTTTACTCTAATACAGGCACTTAGTGCTGTGAATCCTGCCATTCTCCATGTTGCTATGCTGCATTTTAATTTTCAGTTAGTTCAAATTAATTTCTAGTTTTCCTATTTATTCTTTGATACAT